TCTATCTATCTATCTATCTATCTATCTATCTATCTATCTATCTATCTTTCCCGTTGTGGTTGTTTTAATAGGTTCGTGGGTCCTTATTTCCCCCCTCCAAAAAAACATTTTTACCCAGATTTGGGTAATTCACCCAGATTTGGAGAGCACTGGTCTATTAGACCGCAGGCTGAGCGCAACTGAGGTCGACGCCAGGTCACTCCACCCGCACCAACTGTTTCCCGGCGCTCAGCCAAGCGCTTTCGATCCTGGCGCGCCCCCTAACATTTGAATCGGGACAAAAATCTGCCTGCGGGTTAAGGCTGCGAGAGGCCGGCGTGAGCTCGCCTCCCTCCTCCAAACAACGTGGGCGGCCGTTGAATCCAACGGGCTGCGCCAGCGCCTTTGTTTCCTTTTTGGCGCTTGGGTTGCCCTTTGCAGCAGGGACGAGAGGCGCGCAAAGCGCTGCAACCGCCTTTGCCTCGCCTTCTCCTCCCGAGAGCGCCTGGCTTCATCGGGAGGAGGAGGAGCCCGGGCTTGTGACGCAGCAACGAGGCTTCGCAGTCGTAGCAAAGGGGACAGGGCGGCCTAGGGCAGCCTAAGCGCCGTCCGCATGGATCAGGGCCCGGCGCCGTATTGCTTGCGCCGAAGGAAGTCTCCGCGACGCGCGCAGCCCGGCGGGTGAGCTTGCAAAACGGCGGAGAGGTTGCAAAAGAGCCGCTCCCCGTGGAAATCGCAGGTTTCCCAACTGTCCAGGATCCCACCGCCATTCCCGGGACTTCTGGGATCGGGGTGAGGGGGAGGTCTTCCACATTGCTCCCGTCTGTTATCGCCTTTCGGTCTCCAAGCCTCGCCTTGGCGCGCTTGCCTGGCGTTGCTTTCGCTTTCGCTTTGTTGGGGTTGTTGCAAATCCCTTGTAAGTTGGATCCGCTTGACTCTGCCCCGGGGTGGCCTCGGAGGATAGTTTGGCTGCGATGCATCCGACAGACTTTGGTGGACCCCCGAGGTAAAAGATAGGAGACCGCGGTCTTGGGGGCGTTGCATATGATTGCACACCTTTAAACAGGAATGGTTTCAGCATCCGTGGATCGGTTTAGCATGGTAACTTTTTGGGGGGACAAGCTTGCTTGGTTGCAAGTTTTATTAGGAAAAATACACGTCTTTTTGCTCAGTGTATTATTGGGTTTTTTATTGTGTGACCTCAGAAGGATGTCATAAGCATCGCTTTTGCTCCTTATTGTTTGTAAAGAGGAGGCGTGCACAAGCGAACCAACCGTCCCTGTCCTATTGTTTCTTTTTGTTTTTCTTACATGTATCAATTTCATGTATCCATAACTATGTTTATACTTATACCTGTTATCTTGTAAGCGATTGACAAATCAAATCAAATCAAATAAATAAAAAGCAAGTTTCATCCATGTGGCATATACCCTTGGGCACGTCTCTACAAGCTTTCTACTCGGATCTTGGTTGAGTTCAAGCTTCTCCTTGCCTGGTTTGTAGGGCAAGCCAGAAATCTTGACACACACACCCTCCAGGTTTTCCATAGAGTGAAAAGAAGAACATCTGGAGGTAGCCAGATATTTGATTGAGTAGAATGGCAGGATTTAAATACTGCTCATCCTAGTTTATCATGGTTTATTAAATAACTAGATTCATAGAGTGGACTAAGTAGAGAACCAGATTGGAGGCTAGAAACTGGGAGGATGTGAATTCTAGTCCTGCTTCAGAATGGGGAGCTATCTGCATGCCCTTTAGGCCAGTCACTTTCTCCCAACCCTAGGAAGAAGGCAACAACTAAATACTTCCCCAAAATTTTTTGCCAAGAAAATGGTAGGAACTAGTCCTGGACATTGCCTGAAATAAAAGCTGACTTTTATTTCCCCAATTAATAATAAGAAACAATCATAGGTTTGCATCTCATTGTTAAGCCATGATTATTTTGGTTAGAGTGATCTATCATTATGGCTAGTACTGTGGTTTTCCCTATCCTCCCTTTCAGATGATGTTGAGTTGAATTGATGCTTCCTTCTCACCATTTTTACAGAAGCTTTTTGACTTTGCTTACATTTTTTCCCACCAGCTTAGACACTGAGTATAGCCTGGCCAGCAGCAATAGACCTAATTTATCGTATTTGGACCCTTGGATTGTGACTCTTCTGTTGGAGTACAAAGAATCCGTAATCAAAACAGATGGTCAGCTTGGACATGTTCTGAAGGTGGACTTTCAAACTTACTTATTTATGTTGTCTCCCTCCCCCTTACTCAACTCTAAGAATGCAGACCTGTCCTGCATATCCTTGGTTTGTTTTTACCTTGCAACAGACTAGACACAGTTCAGAACAGTTATAGGCTTAACATTGGAATGTTGAGAGTGCCTTGCATGATACTACAAAAACGTGCATACCAAAGGTGTTTTTTTAAAAAATTATAAAATGATTGCTGTCATTGGCCTGGCTAATTGCAAAATACAGTATCTGTTTACCAAAGGAAACGGGTATCTTATTTCCTGCTGCTTCCTCAACAGCAGTGTTTCTAGAGCTGCCTGGGGAATTCTGGGAGTTGGTTCACACATCTTAAAGTTGCTGGAGTTGAAAAACATTGCTGTAGATATCCAGGGAACTCCATTCTAGCTTATCACCATGTTCCTTCTGTGAAATAACAGCAATTTTCTAAACAAAACTCCAGATTGCATTGGGCTATCGCTTTCATCTTTTAATAATTATTATGGAGTCCCCGTGAAGCATCCTGATCGTTAAAAGATGGCAAGACTGCTTTTTTTCCTTCTGTGCCAGGTTCCAGTACTTCTTTTTCTGTTTTAAACTAAGACAGACACAGGTGGAAGAACCCAATAGACAGCCAAAAGAACTATCTGCAGATATTGTAGTGTCTGTGATACCCATCTCTGCTTTACACTGATGGAAAATAATGGGCCCAAATCACAGAATAAACTCGGTTTCCAAATATGTTTGTCATGGAGTAATTTTTTTGCCTCTTCCCCAGGTTTTGAATGAGCCGAGGGTTTACGAAGATGCTGAGCAGGAACCAAAAACAATTCTACATATTGGAGATGGGCTTCACTATATTGAAGTGATGGTTGCAGGCAAAATGACAAAACAGTAAGTTTTACTTTGAATTTATTTTGGATCACTATTCAATATATAGATTTTTACGGAATCCAAAATTTATGTTTCTCTTCCATGAACTCTATACAATTTTACAAGACCTCTGCATTACTATGAATAGAATTTATTGTGATTCATAATTTCATTTTATGATTTATGGTGTGCTGACCATGATCTTTGACATCTAGTGTATGCTTGCTTAGAGCTTAATAGAGATCTTCAAGCAATCAGAATTATAATGTATTCTTTCATTCACATTCTATTAAAATTCTAATCTGTATTTGTAAATCCTTTATTTATTCATTTGTTTCCACTCCTTTATTCCTTTTATTCTCTTTCCTTTTTCGTTTACATGTTTACACTAAAATGTCTGATAAATATGTGTATACAGGTGGTCCTTGACTTATGACCACAGGTGAGCCCAAATTTTACGTTGCTAAACAAGACATTTGTTAAGCGAGTTTTGTCCCATTTTATGACCTTTTTGCCACAGTTAAGTGAGTTACTGCAGTTGGTAAGTGAATCATGTCATTAAGTGAATCTGGCTTCCCTCACTGACTTTTGATCATGTTACCATGGAGATGCTGCAATGGTCACAAGTGTGAAAAACAATCCTAAATCATTTTTTTCAGTGCCAGTGTAACTTCAGCCAGTCCCTAAATTAATTGTTGTAAGTCAAGGATTACCTGTAATATATCATCTATAAGTATTCATTTAGAAATTTTGTGCTTCTGCAGAAATTATAATTGGAGATCAACCCTCCTCAGTTGGATTTTATCATTTGTCTGTAACAAAATATGAGGGATTATGCCAATCTGGTAGAGGTTTGATAATTCCATATTCAAAATTTGTTACATCGTTATTTGAACTAGTATTTTGGGTTCTGGAATTAACAGTTATATATTTTTAAAGTTGCCAACTTTTTACATGTGGTTTCAAAGTCATGTTTACTTGGAAAAATCTATTCTACTAGATGGTCAAAACAATTTACAAGAGAACTATAATCCCTTTTTATATATGCTGGCATAGAAAGTTTGACTGTGAGAATAAATGTTGACTTTATTGATAAAAAGAGATTCTCAGCATTCTAAAGAAGCTTGTGGATCTTTTTAAATTTTGCAGATCAATATGGAAAAATATCACCCTTAGCTGTAAGAGACAATGTGATGCTTTAAGATGTGGTGATACATTTCTTCCTGTTTATTTCCCAGGTCTATGGCTCGGTCTGGATTGTCTGGAATTATTGGCCAGTTCATCGTCTTGCAGAATTATAGAGTCAATTTTAAAAGAGCAACTGAAATGGTAAGGTGCACTAAATGCTCTTGTTGTAGTGTTTTCTTTGGAGGAGCACATACTGATAATGCAGTTTGACCCTCCGAGGATATGACATGAAATTTATTTATTTATTTAGAAAATTGATATTGCCGCCTACTCGCACATGGTGAATCAAGGCAGCTTTCGGGACATAAAAGCACAATATAAAAGAAATAAAAATGATAAAAAATGAAAATAATAAAATAATAACACGTAGTCCTAGTCTTTAGGATCACAATTGGGATCAGAATTTATGTTGCCAAGTAAGTTGTTAAGTGAGCCGTGCCCAATTTTAAGATTTCTTTGCTACTGTTGTTAAGTGAATCATGAGTCATTAAGTGAATCCAACATCCTCCATTGAATTTACTTGTCAGAAGTTGGCTGGGCAGCTCCCATGTGGTGATAATGTGAATTCAAAGATGCTGTGTCTATTATAAATACAAGCCAATTGCCAAGCACCTGAATTTTGATCACGTAACTGGGAATGCTATTGTAACACGAGGACTGGTAATAAGTCACCTTTTTCAGAGCCATTGTAGTTTCAAACAGTCACTAATGAATTGGTTGGTTGACTATTGCCCTCATTTAAATGCCTATATAGGAAACAGGATTTCAAGATGAGTTTACTGCAGCATATTGTAATTAAGGACAGATAATGGCTGAAATCATACAGTTTACTAACTCAAACTAGTTGTTGTTTTTTAAATAACCCACAGAGGTGTATAAAAAGTGTTAAAACACTTTTCCTGCACTGATAATACTTGGCATTGGAGTGGCATATAATTTAAATTTAAGAAGCATTCAACTGTAATGATTACTCTGCAGTTGTGTTGAATTTCAACTTCTCCCTTTCTATCACGGTACAAATTAAAATTCCCTATCAACTTTTGGAAGTCACTTCCAAAAGGGGGGCTTACTTGTTGGTAATCAGACTTTTAAAAAGAAAGAAAGAAAAAAAGGGTCAGACCTGAAGGAGTTTCATGAGGGGAAAATATAGGTTTGTTTGTTTATTAAATTTATATGCCACTTGATATTAGCTTGGTCCAAACCCTGTGGCCCTTTTTGCAAGCTCATTTTCTATCAATATTGAGGGCATTTTTATGATTCTCTGATTGTTGTGCCTTTCACTTAATAGTGAACGTGTGTGTGTGTGTGTGTGTGTAAAACAATCCTTTATATGGACAGAAAGCTATCCTTTAAATGTATTCACACATTTATTTATATATTTATTTACAGCTGCCGTTTAGATTTATTCACATTTCAGATACGGTCACTAAGGGAGGCAATCGTTAAAACGAGGACTCCCTGTATGAAAATTTTCTCCTGCCTACCGCAATATTTATATTTATTTGGTTGTTCGTTAGTTAAATTTATTCGCTGCCTATCTTACAGTGTGATGGGGATCGCCTGTAAAATGTTATTTATTCAGCATATGGCAAGCCTGTAAAATGTCTCCCATAAAGAAACGGGCCCATCTTTGACCAAATTATTTGAGGCTCCTTTTTTTTCTTGATTTCATTGGCAGTTTGCCCTATTTTTGAATCTTGACAGCTACTCCATGCCCTACAGCCATTCCTGCAACAAGTCGAGGGTCACTTTATTCTTTAATTAAAACGGATACAATAATTCGTCTCCTGCGTTTGGCGTGAGGGGGAGAAATCCACCTTTTTTGACTTTACTCCCTCAAAGTAGGCCTATTGCCAGGCGGAATATATGTATCCTTAAACGTGCAATCTTTGGTCTCCGATGTTTAACCCACCAGTGGTTTTTCGCCTGAAATGTAGCTTTTTGTGGCCTTTTTGAAGCCTCCCTGAGGGAGCCGGCCGCCATTAAATCCCACTTAGCAGCCATAAAAAGCCCTGAAAATCTTCCTCCTTCAGGGAGGAAAGGCAGACCCACACAAACCCCACTGCTGTTTTTCTTCCAGTGGGGTTTGTGTGAGTTTCGGAGGAGACCGTTTTTCCCTCCGAGGAAAACTTTGGATATTCAGGAAACCCTCTTAAGCCTTTCAGAAGCCACAATGAGGCTCGTGGGGCCTTGTATTGTTTTGTTTTTTTTTAGTGCCAGAGAGAGGAAGGGGCTTCATTGGGAAGGGGGAGCCCCTCAATGTGGGGATGGGTTGCATCATTTGAGGGATGCTTTTCCAAGCATCCAAAAGTCTCCGGTTGATTTTTTTTTTCCTTGCTTCTTTCACTGATGGAAGGCAACGGAGAGAGAAGCCCCTTGCCTTTTGCAGCTTAGGTTCATTTTTGGGAGGGGGGGGGGCGGCATAATAAGTATAAAGTATTTAATTTGGGCACCTTCCACTTCTTGAAGAATTCTTCCGGTTCTTCAGGTCTGACTCAGGAATTCTGAGAGTTGAAGTCCAGAGATCCTCAAGTTGCCATAGTTGCTTCTGCTTTAGGACGCTTATATCTTCATTTCTGTTTGAAAGGTCTCCTAATTGGATCCTTGCCCACCTCCTTGGGTAAAGCTAGTTTGGGCTGAGAAGCAGGGACTGGCCCAAAGTCACCCAGGTAGCTTTGTATCCAAGTGGGGATTTGAACTGGGGTCTCCCTGAGTTCAAATTCCACCCTTTTAACCATCAATATATCCTGGATTTGAATTCCACACGTCTGGTGGAGGGCACCTCAGCTGGAGATGCCTTGCTTTGATGATTTTTAATCACAGGCCATGCTGCTTTCTCTCCATCATTGAGATCACGTTCAGTGTGAGATTTCTCCTTGAGCATCGTTCATTGTGCTTGTTTTTCACTCTTTTCAGGAAGATTGTCAATTTTATCTCATCCTTGAGTGTTTCCAAGTCATGCCCATAAAGAGAGAGGGGAAGAATCTGCAAAACTGGTGAGACCCACAAGAACACGGATCTTAGTTGTGTAGTTGGGGTGTAGTTGGGAAGATGGGGGCCTAAGCTATAACCCTTAAGATTGCAGAATTTTCTGCATCCCATCCAACATGCATCCTATTTTAATCAGGGTTTGGAAATTTAACAGAATGTATTCTTTATAAACGCTTAACTGTACTTCAATAGCTGCTGTTGTCTGTTGTTGACTGTTCTAACTCTTGCTGTAGAGTTGAGTAGGTTTACAAATTTAAAAATAGTCAAGTTTTGGAAAGAGGAAGGATTAAACAATACAGCTGCACCTAAATGACCTTTTGATTTTCAAAAAGCTAAGTATGGTTAGACTTGATATTTGGATGAAAGATCACACACAGGTCCCAAGGCGGTTGATTAGAGATTGGAAACATGTTCTGCCAGAAGACAGCACTTCTGTTTTCCACAACATAAATGTGTCCATGGTCACCAGCAACTGACTTGAACTTGAAGAGGGAATTGACTATCATCTTTACCTAGGTATTAAAATGGAAGAACGAGGCCCCAAGAGAACTATTCTTTTTGTCATTCTCTGATTCAGTTGATCTTTATAGTGACACTGAACAATCCATGATCTGTTGGGTAGTAGTTTCAGAGATATTTCTTTACCAGATTCCTCAAAACAATGGTAGAGCTTTTGATGTACTACATTCAGAGATACCTCATGTTGAAGTGGATAGCCCAGTCAAACATTGGCACAGGAAATGTTTTATGACATTTGGTATTATGTCATAAACTGGTTTATAATAATATTTATGTTATAAAATGTTTAGAATAGAATAGAATTCTTTATTGGCCAAGTGTGATTGGGGACACAAGGAATTTGTCTTGGTGCAAACCAAATTGATGAGATGCTTGGGGTTCTACATATGTCAACAATCAGCTTCTGTTTCACTGACCTACTGATTGGATGTGGTTTTATTATATGAGTTTTTATACTGTGATAAAAAAAAACTGAGGATGTTAAATGTCTTTTTGTATAGCAATCAGGAGCTGTCAGTCATACAAAAGATAAAGGACCTATGGCAGTAAGTATGTGGGCCAGCTGTTTGTTTCTGTTCTATGAGTGATCTTAAAGCTAGCAGTTTGAAATTCAGATCTGTTCATAGCAACATTATAAAATCTTTCTATGTATCATGGAAAATTCCAGGTTCAACACACAATCCAAGGACTAACTTTTTATTGTATTTGACCTCATTATGCATTATGTGAATGGCAGCCTGCCTTCTCATGCTTGAAAAGCAGTAGGACATTCTCTTATTGTGTATTAATAATGATTAATGGATAATTAATGAATAAGTCAATAATAAGCAGGATAGTCCTTGATAACAGATTTGTTAAACCACTTTCCATTTCCCCAAGAAATGCAGCATTAGCTGACCCACCGAAAACTTTAATTCCGTTCTCATGACAAATTAGTAATACATCATGATCTAGCACTCATAATGGCTGTTTGTAATGCTGTTCTCATTTTGATTAAAAAGGAAGATACAGGATTTTTCCCTTTTTTCCATCTAGCACAATGTTCAAGTCAAAATGTGGCTTAGTCCTAGGAAACACCTGGCTACAATTAGTAAATTGTGTGTTTTTTAAAAAAATGTTTTGATTGCAGTTTTCAAAAAATACAAATCTTATGTATATTTGTTGCAGCATTTTGGCAACGACAAACACATATATCTTATATACCTTATTATATACACATCTACATTGGTTTTTATGGCATAACTTAGTGTAAAACCACAGCCAAATGTCATTTATTAGGTAAGAACTTTGTTTAAAAGTAGTTTAAAGTAGGCATATCCAAACTGCAGGCCACAGTCCATATGTGGCCCTGGACAGCTAGTAATGTTCCGCAAGATAGAACAAAATATTTAAAAATAAAGGCAGATTGTTATTTATGTACCTAAACTATATTATATATTTTATATGCAACCCAAGACAATTCCTCTTCACTCAGTTTGGCCCACAAGCCAAAAGGTTGGCTGCCTATGGCTTAAAGCAAAGTACAAAATCAGCTAATTGATAGCTTGCGTTGGCAGTTGAAATGTACATTGATGTTCAGAATTGGTCCTCTTGACCTCAGTTCCTTCATGTCTCTCCTCCATTTAACCATTTTTATCTGTTTATCCTTATACGAAGTGATGATGGATACCCATCCCGATGAGCTGCATTGAGGAGACAATAGAAACATGCCAAAAGTTACCTTCTTGGAAGGTTGAGATTGGGGTAGAAGAAGCTTGGGAGAAAGCAAAAAATAACTCTGTATAGGGCATTTCAGGATGTAAATAAACAAGGGAGAAGGCCTGAGAAGTTACTGTCATGCTTAACTCTTAATTCTGTTTGGTTGTGTATTTCAGAAAATGTTTTGCCAGGGAGACATGGTTCAACTCAGGTATGCTAGATTAAATGTTGGTGGCCTTCTAAATGAAGTTTAGTGAAAAGTGGGGTCAGTTTTAAGTGGGTTCCTCTGATTTTCTGTCTTATATTTCATTGTGGAACAAATCTTATTTGAGTTTTATACTCCCCAATAGAGAATTCATTCAGGCCACCTAAAGGCTAAACATTTATAACCCAAGTCCTTCCTAAATTGTATTTTTTTTTCATAACATAACTTTTTCACCTTGTGAGATAGATTCAAAAGATGTTTACCTTCAGGCCAGAATGATGCCAATGTATTTCTGAATATGACAGTTGATTAAAAAAAAATTGCTAGTTCTGCATCATTCAGTCTTAAAGCAAAATGTTATAGGGTATTGCTTGTAAGCCGGTTGTCTATTTACAATGTGCTTTTTTTTATATTCAGGACAAGAATCCCAGGCAGTTTCCCAAATATTGAAAGAAGTAAACCAGGATCCCCTGAACACTTTGAAACAAACTGCTAAGGATTGTCTCAACTTATTAGGCACCAGCAAACTGTTGGACTCTGAGCAACTGGCTGTGTATCCAGAAACTAAGTGGCAACTGGAGCGGAAGCAAAATAAGGTTTGTATTTATTTTCTGTGCCCTGGTTATGACATTGCAATTGAAATTATAGGTGGAGGGGATGAAGGTAATTCGATAAATACCTCTGGTGAAGGAATAGATAATGGAAAATTGGGAAACATAAAAAAGGAAAACTGTTAGCATTTTTTATTTATTTATTCATTTATTCCTCACTACAGGAATTACTGTGGTCACATGATCAATATTTAGAGACTGGGCAACTGGCATGTACTTATGACAGTTGCAGTGGGTCAAGTGATCACCATTTGCAATCTTTCAAAGGGACTTCCGACAAGCAAAGTGTGATGGCACAAAGGCAACACAGTCATATAAGCAATAAGAGTCCCTTTATTATCTCTAACTTTGCCCCCAATGTTCAGGTTGCCTTCGGCTGGAGAGAAAATCTCCCAGGAACAGTCTTTAACTGTAGAAAATTCAGTCCAAAACAAGGTACATACAAACTGTAACTAAAAATCCAAACAAACCAAACTGAAGTAATTAGCTTGACAGGACAGGAGAAGGAATTTCAGACTTGAAAGCATGGCAAAACTCACACAGTTGGGAAGACGCCAGGAGCACAGATAAGCCACGACAAGACCAGATAAATTCACGATTTGCTCCCAACAACTTGCTGTGCGCAGCTGCCTCTTTTATACACTGTGTTCCCAGCTGCAATTAATGAAGGGAATCAGGGCCCTTTCCTCCCCTGTAAGTCACGCAACTCACGTTGCTCCCTTCTCCGTTCCTGTGTGCCCTAGGATGAAGAAGGGGTGGGCCTGGGTCTTCCTCCAAATTCCCTCTGCCTTGCTCTACCTCTCCCCTACTCTGCCCAGCCAGACTGTGCCCTTCCCGCTTTTTCCACAGCCAACGGAGCCACACTCCCACTCCCTGTCAGCTGTTCGGCTTCCCCCTCCGATTCAGATTCCGACGGGCATGACACAAAGCCAATGGGGAGAGCTGGATTCTCCTAACAGCTGAGGGATTCGCTTAATGACCGTGGCCAAACAAGTCATAAAATCAGACATGTTTCATTTAACCACATCACTTTGCAATGGAAGCTCCAGTTGCAATGATGGTCTTAACTTGAGACTCCCTGAATTGAGGCTTTTGACTTCTCAAACCAGTGGACTATTTTTTTTTTTTAAGAACTATTTTTAGAGTTACTTGATTCCTAGGTTAAGAATGAAAGTGAGGGAAATTGGAAGAACTTGGCACCCGGCTGCGAAAGAGCAGCTGAGAATGCTTATATATTGCATAAAGCAGGAACAGATGAAAAGTTTTTGATTTCAGATGCACGAAGATATCTTCACGGTTCCAGCTGAATACCTGGTGATCGGTGCAGAAAACGAGGCAGCCCTTTCCCAGTCCTACATATCAAGTGAGTGCCAGAACCGGGGGCCAGATTTATGAATGAAAATGGGTTGGCTTGGATGTTTCTTCTCTCTCTCTCCCCCCCCCCCCCCCCCAATAAAACAGTATTCCTGATTTCTGACTACAGGTACCCTGTTTCTCCAACAATACGGCCTCCCCCAATAGGAGGTCCCAGCATGTTTTATAGGCATGAAATGAAATTAAGCCCCTCCCCCCCAAATTAAGGCCTATATTAAAACATGCGGAATGGCAGGGGGGCTTGCCATTAGGAAGTACTTTTGTTGCATACCCGGATATGGTGCTGCCTGCGTTGACCCCGATACGAAGTGCCCCACCAACGCCGAGGTCAACATCCAAGCCGTCGTTGCCTGCCTTAAGATGCAAGGGGGGGAATTAAGTCACCCCCGAAAAGACGGCCTAGCCATTTTTTCAGGGCTCAAAAAAAAAATAAGACCCAGCCTTATTATATGAGAAACACGGTAGTCGTTGATTGATTGTTGAAAGTTAGAAGAGCACTGCAGAAAATGACTTACGACTGCTTTTTCACACTTACGACCTTTGCAGCAGTCACATGATCACGTGGTCAAAATTCAGATGCTTGGCAATTGGTTTGTACTTATGACTGTTGCTATGTCCCAAGGTTGCAGCCTTTTGACGAGCAAAATCAATGGGGAAATCAGATTCACTTAGCAACCTTGTTGCTAATGTATCAGCTGCAGTGATTCGTTTAACAAATGTGGCAAGATAAGGTCGTAAAATAGGGCAAAACTCACTCACCAAATGTCTCACTTAACAACATACATTTTGGACTCAATTGTGGTCATAAGTCAAGGGCATTGTAGTTAAATGTGACAATCGTAATGGAGTTGTCAAGGAATGGCATAACTCTTACGTGAAATTGAAGCTGAAATTTTGCTTGTGTTCCAGCTTATATAGGACGGGCAGACAAATGGGCTAGGTTTTAAGTTCACAAGATTTTTGTAGTTTTTATTGAGGCACATCCTGCAATCTTATCGTCAAGAGATACATATATCTTACAGATTCAGTTACAGGACTATCTTGTGGATAATTTTTCTTTTGAAAAAATCAAGAATAAAAAGTAAAGAGAATTGGAAAGCAGTTCTCTTGGAAAGAGAATTGGAAAGCAGTGGCTACTAGCAATTTAAGTAGCTTTCTTAAATCAATGTTGGGTAGGGTCGCTATTGTAAATGTATAGGCTTACAACAAAACAGCAATTCCCATGCCACAGTTTGATAAGTTAAGCTATATTGCATTCCCTTAATTTGTTCCTGAAGAACCTGCAGAGTATGTCTCATTACCTACTTTGGATTCCAACATTGGCTGTTGCAAAGCCACAAATTAAGTCCTTAAGTTTACTTGTGTGGATTGATCTAAAATGATACCCTTTGGGAGGGAGTGGATGCTGATAGTGAAGCTCTAATTTTTCTCAGATACCCCTCAAGCTCCTGAAGAAGGTGAAGATGTTCAAGAAGATGATCGTAGTACTGTCTCCTTTTTCAGTGGTGAGTACCATTGGTTGTCTCTCGTGAACAAGCAGGTGAATGGTGCATTTTAAAGTTCTTTTTTTACAAAAGGGAATATTACCCCAAAGATTCAGGAATCAACATTCAGAAAAGTTTCTAGCCAATGAATATTTTGTAATTATCATTAGTGTTCGATGTACTTTTTTTAGTCATATCTGTGCCAAGGAAAGTCATTCTGTTTCTGTTCTCATCTTCTTCTTTTTTTGCACTTTTATCTTGCTTTTTTCTGATCTTTCGGTTTTTTTCAATTCTTTTTTTTCTTATTCATTTAACTTGTGATTGATTTATTTAATCTAGTGAAGAGAGATATTTATATCCCTTTACTGGAGTGTGTGTGTGTGTGTGTGTGTATGTGTATACACACGTACGTACATACATACATAAATACATATTCATTGGCATCCATTCAAGATGATCTTTAGAACCAACAATAAAACATAGTCTTAAACTCTCACAAAGTCTGCACTATTGCATCTCCCAGGAAAAAAGTGATATGGATAGTTGCAAAATGGTATATATAGGCCACCTCCCTTAAATCTTTAGGGACAAAGTTGCTCAAATATTACATTTTGTCATGTCCGCATGTACAGAATGTCACATGATTTCCACCTGCCTCTGTTTTTACCGTGTTTATCTTGTGTTTTTAGTTGCATTGTCCGCCAGGAGGCACCATTCAACCAGGTTCACTCTCTCGTCTTCCAAAGGAAGTAGGGGTGGCCTAATGTAAAACTTTGAATGTAGGGGCCATGGCATAAAGTAACACCTGCTTCTGTCTCTTCTCTGGGACCCTAATGGGCAGCATAAAGTATAAAGTATAATTAAGAGATATAAAGAGTATAAGGAGACAGTATAATAAGTCAGTTTGGTCTAGCGGTTAAGGCACCAAGCCAGAAACCAGGAGAGCATGAGTTCTAGTCCCATCTTAGACATCAAAGCCACTGGGTGACTTCGGGCCATTCAGTCTTCCTTAGCCCAACTATCTCCCAGGGCTGCTGTTATGGGGAAAATAGGGAGGAGGAAGGGAGTATTAAGAATTATCTTTAGCTGGATATCAAATACATAAGAGCAACAATATTGGGCTTGTGAATCTGGGTGTTTTAATAGAAACCAGCAACTCCACTTTCAACACCTAACACTGTTTATGAAGTCTGTTCAGAAGACCTTCCTCCTAAATCAAATTTTGAATGAACTTAGGTGAATTTACTCCCTATTTCTTGAGCTCTTCACCCTGAACGCAGGTCCGTTTGTTTGACATACTGGGTCAGAATGGATTCCTATAATCTTTTGCACTGTTTGAATATTGCTGCTCTTTATGACTTATTCTAACCTGCTCCGGCATGGGATGTTGAGAGGAAGATGTTAATTTGCTTTTCTTTATGCAGCAGATTCTGCAGATTCTGCAAGTTTGGATGGTTCTTTAGAAAATCCCTGGGATGCAGTTCCTGGAATAACCTTGAGCACCTCCAGTGGTGAGTGAAATCAAAAGCTACCTGTACTGGTTTCTGCATCCCCATTGAATCATGTTAAATCAAGTGTTTGATAGGGGTTATTGGCTCTTACTATTCATTTCAACACGCTACCCCTTTTCTAGCAACATGCTAATACACGGCTCAAAAAAATAAACCACTCAACCATGACCTGGATGACTGAGAATCTCCGTAGACTTAAAAACAGCTGAACTTTTTCTTTTTTGCACTTTGACAGATGCCTCTAGCACATCCCATGGCCTTCCCCAGGTGCAGCAAATGCTTTTGGCCAGTCCTGCTGAAGAAGCAAGGCCAGAATCCAACACTAGCACCCCACGTCTCCCGGAGCCTTGTGATAATACACCTCACTGTAGCTCTGAGCACGCTGCACCACCGAAGTTCCCGTCGCTGTTTCATTCTCAGAACAGTGAATTTCTCATCGAAACGGCCAAACAGAAACCCAACTTGGTTATGTCAACCGCATCAGGCCAGGCCAGCGAACTTGCAGACAGCCTTCCTTGTGGCCAGCCATTAAATAAATCCTACCTTCCTTTTTCTCCTGTTCGTCATTCCAAAGAGGGCGACTTCTCCTTGGAGCCGGTGTCTGAAAATAGGAAGGATTGTCTATCCCTTACCCATGGAGCTAAAGGGATGACAGCTAGGTGGAAATACTTTGAAACTGAGAAATATGTGTCAGCTCAAAGGAAACAGGTGCCAAACGAAGGAGAACCTTCTGCGACTTCTACTCCAACTTGTAGTAGTAACAATCTGGAAGCCGTAGGGCATTGCTCTACTGAGACCGTTACAAAAACTCGTACTCCAAATAAGAGACGTGTAAATCAGCACCTTCCCTTGAAATTTGAAAACACCCCCAAGAAAAGGCGGCTGGGGGAGATTCAGGATGAGCAAACCCATGTATTTGCCCGTCGCAGTTGTAGAGAGAGATCTCTAGAAGAAAGAAGCGAGGAGGAACCAATAGGAAGGGTCACCAGGAGGAAATCAAAGCAAATTGGAGTTCAACAAAAGGTAAATCTGCCATGTGAGCGAAGGAAAATAATAATAAACCTCTCTATAGCTTTGTTTCGTGACCAGAGTCAGAGTGGAATTAGTGGCTCTTTGCAAAGGAAATTCCTGTCTTTTCTCTCGGGCTTGTTTTGTATATATGTTTTGGTTGCCAGTATAAATTTAATATTCAATCAGTCAAACATCGCCGATGCAGGTAATCCTTGACTTTGCCATAATTGAGCCTGTCAAACGACCGACTAGATTTTATCACTTTTTCAAGGTGGGTCCTTCAGGTAAATTCATTGTGTACTAAGGAGGGATTTTTGCCAGGAATCGGAAATAAACCCTGTTTTTTTCGGCAAAAACATCATAAAACAGAGTCCTGTGACCACAGACACCTGCAAACAGCCATAAATGCTGGCTGGTTGCCAAAAACCCCAAATAACTAGCAGGTAGTTGTCAGAACTTCAGAATAAGATTGTATGTACCTTTTTTGGGGGGTGGGGGAGTGTGTGCGTGTCATTAGTTCAAACAGTTACTATACCACTGTAGTGAGTTAGGACAATCTGTAATTCTATCTAGTGAGAAACCATAAAGTGGCAACATTTAACATGAGGTTTTTCCCATTTGTGGAACTTAGGACCACAATTGAGCCCAAAGTTTATGTGGCTGAGACATTCGTTAAGTGAACCACTGCAATTGTTAAGTGAATCCAGCTTCCCCGTTGAATTGGCTTGTCAGGAGCTTGCAAAAGAGGATCGCCTGACCCCGGGACATTGCAGCCGTCATAAATAGGAGCCAGTTGCCAAGCGTCCGAATTTTGATAGGGATGCTGCAATGGTCATAAGTGTGAAAAATGTTTGTCCCTTTTTCCCCCAGTACTGTTGTAATGATGAACGGTCCCTAAATGAGCTGTTGTAAGTCAAGGACTGCTTGTAATTTGGGTGGCACTTAAAGCCCAGCAACCATATTGTTGATTTCTCACTCAACACCTTCTCTCATCCTCAAATTGTTCCAAAATAGCAATTTCAATATGAGCAGAATTTTAAAAAACAAGGATTCACTTTGCTTCTCGCTCTCTCTCTCTCTCTCTCTCTAGAATGGGAAAGGAAACGGTGTTCATCTTAAACGCAACGCACCTACACCAGACCTCCGCTCTCAAGTGCAGTCTGTAAGGTTAGTCTCTTTCTTGGCTAGTCACACATATCATGGGGAAGGGTCTACGTCAGGGGTGTCCAACCTTGGTAACGTTA